GATCATCTCGTGTTAATTTAAGAAAAGTTGAGCCCTTGAGTTCTTGAGCTGTTAAGGTGTCTATGTGATTATCGATGCCGTTAAACCTCCTTTTCAAAAAGCCATTAAGTTCTCCGGCATTAAATCCCTTCACTTCCTCGACCGTTGGAAGATCAGATGAAGGAATAACATGAACACTGGTGGAAGAACCTGCAACTAGCATTTTGAAAAAATCTTTGACTTTCATCATGCGTATAATAAGCGCAGTAAAATACTTAGAAGCGTTAAATGGCATAGCTTCTACGATTAAAAAACACAGATTTATTTGAATTTTATAAATGCATTAATACGTAATACAGACGATCATGTTTTAAGGAATTCTACCGTCACGTGATTATCTCATTTTATTTTATTTTTTACTATAAAAATTTTAACGCGTCATACCTGTTTTCATAAATTACTTTGCATTCACATAGTGAATATGAAAAAAATTTACTTATTACATCTACTTTAATAATACCTTCGTCGCATCAATATTATAAGAATGTAAAAGGGAATTTGTTTATCTCGGACCGGGTGACCTCAAATAAAATAACTACCATGTAGTTGCTTCCAGCAATGATTATTAACTAGAATAGGCATTGTGTCCGAACTTTTAAAAGAGTTTATTCATTATAACAAAAGAAACTAGAATGAGAAATGAAATTCATGATCGGTGGAAAATACAATTGGGTTGCACGAAAAATATGTGGTCAATCACTCTTCTTTATTTAGTACGTATAGCGTTGCTAATTTCTTGGTATTTAAATTGTAATAATAACTTTTATCATTGTTATCTGAAAAACCGCAGAACCCATCATCATAAGAGGATTTCGAGTTAGAATCTAAAGAATCATAGGATTCACCTACCTCTTCTTCCAGTAAAGATTTGTTATCTTCACTTATCATATCTTCCGAATTAAATGTATTCGACAATGGGATAGAGGAAGTAGATGTTTCTGAATTTTTTTTTCCTCCTTACAATTATTTCGTGCAAAGTTGGTCAATATAGAACTCTACTCATCATCCCGTACTCAGCCAGAGGCAGGCTCACATCAATAATTTGATCAAAGGATACATTATCTATAATATACTGAATTTCCTTTTTTATTAATTTAGATATACTGTCAGTAGAAAAGGGATCCATATATACTACACCAAAAAGTTTATAAAGCTTCTTTGATTTTTCAATTCTCTTACGTAAAAGGATATCAGAAGTGTCTGTGGGTAACTGTGCCTTTACCTCTTTATTTAAAATTTTACTAAAATATTGGATTCTGGATTAACTTGTTTTTCCGATGCTATTTCAGTCTTTGAATATAAACCTTTCCAAATAGGCAATAACATGCAATGGCCTCTTAGGTTTTACGATCAGCAAGAATTATAGAATTACAATGTTTTCATATAAAGGTGTAAAGTATATTGTTATTTTCGTGATGAGTAATAATAAAATAATTCAATTGTTTTTAATTATTTTTAAATAAATTTGAACTTAATTAAACAAAAGCTTTTGACAAAAATGAAAAATTACCATGGCGCAATGTTATAAAGCATTAGAACAGCAATATGATAAGTTTTGATTCAAAATAATTATTATTTTTAAAAAGTAATGCTTTATTAACTGCTATAATAACATAGAAAAAGTCTGTAGAAATATTCAAATATTATTATTTACTTTTTCAATTAAATAATAAAAGTATTTATTAGATAACTAATTAATAAACTTTTAAAAAACTCTTTTTCCTGGCAATCGCTTCATAAAAAGGTTGGAATGGGTTAATAACCAAACAAGCCTCTCAATGGATCATACCAACCCAATTGGAGTATGCCATTAATGCAACCATCCCATCCGACAGAGAAATAACCACTTTCCAGAGAAAAATAAATAAACCAATCAAGGAAAAACTTGGAGTAGAATGTACTATTTCAAACAAAATCCTTTACTCACAAGCTGGACTCAACATTGTCAAACTTCAAAATCGATGAGATGTCACTGCCATAAAAATTCTAACTATCAAGCTTACCAATCCTAAAATCTCCCCCTTTACCACAAAAGAAATTACATCAATACAAGCTGCGCAAGCTATATGGTGTTGTTCAATTTGCTTCTCCTATTACTTTGAAGACTCATGGGTCACCTCAGCAGCCCTTCTGGCCAAAATATACAAAATCAGAATCTGTCTATTTCCCTGCCCATATAATTATAATAACCACGAGCATTCAATCAGTCTTGTGACCAAACTTAAAAATCTAATGCCCTCTTTCTCTATTACACAAACATTAAAACTATTCACAACACCTATGTTTACAAACAAAATATCAAACTATCCTGGGAAGAAATACACACACACAGGGGCTACATTACTTCTGGTCCAGCTCTAGCATGGTTCTCACTTATCCCCAACACATCTTCAAACATATACGATAACTCAACATTCCTTTCCAACACCACTAAAATTAAATTCTGGGCTTTTTTGAATAACAATACTATCAATCTCATCAAAGTATGCAGCAATGCCATCAGATCCACAACCATCAGAGGCAAGCACTATCTACTCAACAATAAGGAAATAATTTCTTGCTCATGTTCAGTACAGCCCTGTATCATGAAGAAAAATATAAACATTCTTAATTTCATTTGGCACATCTTGCATCTTAACTCTACATACCTACTTAACAACATTCAGGAGCTAACTGAATTCTTCTTCCCTATATCACAATCAATTCCACAAATACTAATCTCTCCACCACATCCTACCAACAGACCACAATTATACACCTTTATCACGACAAAAACAATAACAACATGGTAGTATCCAAACCATCGAATACACTTATGTATACACTTCATCTTAACTTCTGGAGTGTTTTTTGGCCAGTACTCTATCAAACCCTGGTCGACACCCCAGAAACATCAACTATCAACATTTTTCTTAACAAAATCCTCAATACAAAGGTTCCGAATTACATTAACAGATCAATCAAAACTCCCTTCAGCAGACTTATCAACGAATGTAATACTCTCATAATTGAAAAAGACTTTACTATCTCATGGTACAAATTGAAAAACCACCAGCCACCACTGAACACAAACATGAAAATTAATACACCAGTTCCTCAGTGCTTCCCCTCAACATTTACATCATCACCACTAATCAATAACACACATGCAATAAGTATTACTCACTGGATCAAATTTATAAATTACTACACCAATCTCTTTGATATCTTCCTGAGTCAATCAGCCACATACAATTCCTCCTTCTTTGAGGAACTTGAAACCATTATCAAAGCAAAAAACAAACTCAAAAAATCCAACCAATCAAAATGCAAGGCACTATTCACATTCAGAACAAAACTCCTCACAAATCAACTTCCAATCAGAATAAAACTTCACAAACATTACTCCAGCCTCTACCCTGACAACTTATGTCCAAGATGCGATGCACACCTAGAGGACCTTTCACATATCTTCTCCTGCACATACATTAAACTCCTATTAAACAAAAAGAAGCTCAAACTTGAAAACCTCATTCATAATCTCAATCCTAAAAATATCAAAGAAATTGACTTTACCACAACATTCAAGCTAACAGACAATATCCTATTGAACTTGACCATTGGCAAATTCAACAACCCATTCAGCCTTCTTCATAAAAAAGAACATATTTTCAACTTCATACTAAAAATCCTACACAAAGCATGGAAACTGAGATTGGCCACAGCGACAACCTCACCGGCTTCTGGAATCAAATGAAAAAAAACAACCAGCATTTGCACAACAAATACAACTACCAATGTCAATTCTATATTTAATAAAATCTTAAATCTCCTAATGACTCATTCAACTATACTGATAAATCAATTTTTACTCCTACAATAATATCATCATTCTAAAAGAGCATTAGCCATTCAGCACTATTGGTGTGAGTTCACCCCCGTGATGGTACCTGGTATCAATAGTTTAGTTGCGATAGGCTACAATTAATTTACTTTGTAAAGATTATTAATATAATGACAGTAAATTTTTTATTTAAATAAAGTCTTGCATTTAATGCCCATTCGCGATAAAAAAAAAAAAAGTATCTGTTTTGAGATTTTGGTATAAGATTGTTGTGCTGCCACATTATATATCCAGAATATTTTTGATAATTCATGTCCAGTTCTGTAGATATTACCCATATTTTTTATTAATTATATGTTTATAGTATCTACTCATTTTGACATGTACATCACAGCTTTTTTTAGTACATTTCTATAATAAACTTTATAAGTTATATATATTTACAAGTATTATACATATGTTTATAGTACTGTAGATATAACTATATATGAGTAGCTACATATTTATACTATATAATGTTATATATAGATACTATTTAAAATTGAATAGTTTTATATATAAAGTTTTATAACTCATGTTTTTTATTTATTTAATAATAATAATTTTTTTTTAATACCAGAACAGCTATTAGTAACTTTATTATTTATAAGAAATTACTGTAGGCAATATTACAAATCTGAAAACTAATATACATTTCTCTTTGCTAAGAAGAGTTTAATATAGGATATAACAAAAGTGGTCTCAACCATTCAAGCATTATTTCTATAAACTTACCCAAGCACTAGTAAAAGAAATATTAAAACCAAGACTTAATACTTAGACAGGTGCCTAGTGTAAACTAGAAAGGATTAGAAGTATCCAAACATATGAAAGTGCTACAGCAAAGTATACAAATGCCTCCAAGTTATAAATAGGATTTGATACACTTGCTTTCCAAAGTTGGCTTGATGTACAGCAGGTGGAGAGATGGAGAAGAAAGAAATTAGTTTTTTTACACATGAAGGCACTGCAGCCACTTTTTACAGGTTAGCCTCCAAATTATATAAAGAGTTTGGCATATTTATTTTCCAAGTGTGGCAAAAGTGTCCAATGAATAGAGTTAAATTGGAGTTTCTTAAAGGCATCATTACCTAACCATACATATGGACCTATATTGTTGAGAGGTAATCGAGAAACTTCTGTTGTTGACACCAGCTCTGTTTGCAGGAGTAACTAGAATTCCTGATCATCATATGTTATCTTACTAGGTATTCTAGACATCAACATATCATTTGTAGAAATCTACTCTGGCATTGGCTGCCATATAACTAGATATAGTGGAGCATAACTTCTTGGAAATTCAGATGACAATAGTTGTATAATGGTTTCTTAAATATATTTAATCTAACCATTAACAAGTAAACAATGTCAAATATAGTAATAATGACTGTGCTGATCTTTTGGAGGGGTAAACCATTTATTCTTTTTTTAAAAAATCATGGAAGCAAGAAACTTTTTAAGGTTCACAACATAAAAAAAGTTATCACTTCTTAGTATAGTTCTTGAAAGAAGTGAGTTAATTGGCCAGAAGAGTGATGAAATGAAAAGTGACAATTTTAAGAGAAAGAGAGATCTAGAGAGGAAAAACTTCAGAGAGAAGAAAAAAACCTAACTTTGGCAAGGAAAGGAAAAAGAGAAGAAGAAGGGGGTATATGTAAAAAAAAAAATTTATAGAAAAGAAGGAAAAAAAAAAGAAAGAGGGAAAAAAAAAGTAATAGGAAAAGAAAATAGTATTAAAAGAAAAAGAAAAGTGAAGAAAAAAGAAAACAACTTAAAAATTTTCTAAAAAGAAAAATTTCAAGCATAGGAAGGGGAATAGAAAAGAGTTTTTTTTTTTTAATAATTACTTTTTTTTCTTTTATATTGCAAATAAATATTATTATAAAACTTTATATAACTACAAAGTTTTTGACTATTTTATTAACAATTATTATATTTTATTATTATTATAATTAAAATACATATTTGTACTTTATAATTTAATTTATATTAATAATATTAAATAATTAATGTTTATTTAAAATAT